CACAAAATTTTCAGATTTCGTTTTAGAATCTGAAAAGAGTGCATAAAATAGGCATATTAAATTTTTTTTTGTGGCCTATCTGATTGACTAGATTAAAGGTAATTGAAGAAGGACAACTCTGTCTTTGCACACTCCAACCACCAGTATTGGTAAGTGAAAAAACTCTAAAGCCTAATCGCCTCTCACCTTGCCTCTCTTTGCTTACACCTAATACCCTGCACATACTCCACCCTTATTTTTCTAATTATGCTTTAAACAACTTCTTTATTTGGCTTCTTTTTATTGATTTGCGGTGTAAGACAAGGTAGCAGGGTATGCAAATTCAGGAAGAGGAGGAGAGGAGAGGAGCGGAGAGGAGAGGAGTGGAGAGGAGAGGAGAGGAGATCCTCCTTGCTGCCATTTTCTTTTTGTTGCATCATCCTTCACACCACACTGGTGGGATATGAATTTAAAACTTTCATTTTCTTGTAGACTAATTATAACTTATTTAATAATACTAGTCCAATATTTAATATTTCTTCTGACAGCAGATTGCAAAGGCATTTGCAATTTGATTTAAAGAAAACTGTCATAAATAATTTATTTATTTAAATGAAGGAGAAGAGAGGGAAAAGTATGGACTTCTGAAACAGAAACAGTACCTGTTTTGTACCTTCAAAACAGGTACAAAAATTACTGTTTAAAACAGTTTATTTTTGGAAACTCAGCACTGGTCAGCCTTGTTTTCTCATATCGTGTTGGTCTACAGACAGCACAACAAAATGTACTTGATATATCCTAGAACATGCTGTAAAATATGGGGGTACTTACCATCCTCTCATGATGGAGCTGCTTCCATTTAATTGACAGGAAGCTTGTCACTGACAAAAAGCATCCGGGATTCTATGTCCCTAATCAAAATTTTTGTTGGATTTCCAAAAAGGAGGAGAGGCAGTAGAGAGGTAACAAAGCTACACTGTGATAAAATAAAGAATTGAGTGCCTGCACTTCAGAAATTATGTCTCTTTCTTCTGTAAACCTAAAACTTTCTTTTCATGTGTGGGTCTTTAAAACAGCAGCAGGGAAAGACCAGGTTGGATGGAGATTTGAGCAATCAGTTTTGGTTTGGTGGTGGGTGACTCTGCCCATGGCAGAGTGGTTGGAGCAAGATGATCTTTAATATCTCTTCAAAACCTAAGCACTCCATGATTCCATGACAGTATGAGACTAGATGAAGAGATGCTCAAGAGAACAGAAAAACACCCTCACAGGATCACCGAATAGTCTGAGTTGGAAGGGATCCACAAGGATCATTGAATCTGACTCCTAAGTGAATGGCCCATGCAGGGATCAAACCCACCACCTTAGCATTATTAGCATCCTGCTTAAATCAACTGAGCCAACCTCAGGGCTCGTGAGACCATAAAAACACAAATCACAGAATAATTTGAAAACATTTAAGAACAACCAGAGGTTTAATTTCTTGATCTGACACCCTACCTCCACTACCAGTATTCCACATTTTTGTCAAAAAAAGGTATGGGGCTTTCTCACCCTTCACAGGAGCCTGCCATTTGAAGGTGGCTTCAACCTATCTGGGATCAACATGCCAGTAGTCAGAGTCCACCAGGTATGCCAGGAACTCCACCCTGTGCTGTTGAAAAGAGCTGATTTCTGGGGTTTGTCGTGGAGTCACCCCTGCTGGAAGTGACTCAGGACATCCCTGGCACAGCCTGTGTGCCTGTTGGATGCTGGAGAATGTGAAGATGCTGAGAATACCACTACACAGTTATCAAGCAGACTATGCAGCACATGATGTGCAGAACCATGAAAGGTGGTCAGAGCACAGGAGAGACCAAACAGTACCACAAGATCCTCATAGTGTCTGTATCTGGTTCAGAAAGGACTTTTCCACTCATTCCCTTCTAGCATGCAGGAAGTGCAGTGCTTCATAGAGTTTGCCAGCTTCTTTTGATGATTCAAAAAAGGTTTTTCCAGTGTCATGGCTCTTCTAGTGGCACATACTTGGAAGGGACCTCACTTCCCATGGACATGAAAAGCACATGCAGCTCCTGAGGAACAGAAAGAGTTAGTCACCACATCCTGCCTTACTGTCCTGCTGAAGTCTTGGCTGGCATTTTGCTACGGAAGCAGATATCTCTGGGGGATAGGGGCTATACTGTCCCACAATCGAGCCCAAAGCAGGAGCCATGCCCCCATGTCTTTTTCTTTAGACAGATCATTCCCACAAATAGGAAATTTCCGTCTGAGACAAACAGGACCTGGCAATCCAAGCTGCCTCTGAGGAGTGGTAGTGCACTCTTGAGGCAACAGAAGAACCAACAGTGGTTCTATTCTGGCCTACCACCAGAATACAGCTCATTTTGAGGGTCACAGACCCACAGACTCACAAGCTCCTTTAAAGGGGCTTGCTTTTTGCACCCAGTTTCCAGAGTCAACTGATTTGTGTATTTATTGTGTATTATTATTTCCCCTGATGGAGCTCCAGCACTCCAGTGCTTGGCCACTGCAGTTATGGTCCTTCCAAAAACTGTTTGAATTAACTAAATCAGCTGGTTTTGGACCCCATAGCTTTGGACTGTCTTCCACACAGTCACAATCCACATTGCTCTGGGATATTACTACTGCTGATCACCTAATGTCCCTTGGGATATATGGTACCTGGATAGGCTGTAAAGATTAGCTACATCTAACTAATAAATACTAATATAATTGTGCAGCCCCCACTGAATGGTTCTGGAAGACCATAAAACCATGGAAAGGTTTAGGTTGGAAGGGACTTTTAAAGACCATGTCATCCAACTCTCCTTCAGTGGGCAGGGATATCTCTTACTAGATCAGGTTTCTCAAGACAGAAAGCAGGAGATCTTGAAGCAGCTTGCAGTGCTCTGTCACACTTCTACACATTGACTACAGCCTCCTGCAGCAATCTGAGCCTAATCTGCAGCTGATGGGGAGCCTGAAGGCCAGGCTCCATGCAGGCAGCCTCAGGCTTGAGGTGGCCCAATTACTGGCATGAAACAGCAGGACTGGGGCTGCTCTGCAAGAGATGACAGTGAAAAGTCAGGGGAGATCACATCATGGGACAGTGACCTCACCGACCAGGGCACAGTACCCAAGCGGGGCAGCCTGGTGACAATAGCAGCTGTTGACAGTCACAGTGATCACCAGGTAAATGCCAGATGGCAGGTCAGGTCCAAGTGGAATCCATGAAATTCAGCGAACAGAAGCTGTAGGATACAGGACTAGGCACATGCCTGCCAGCAACACAGCTCAGGAAAGGGCTGGAGGCCAAGGTTGGAGCAGAAACGGAGCTACCCCTGCAGCTATGCTGGCAAACTTGCACCAGTGTGTCTCTTAAAAGCTCCATGTTAACTACAGCACAACTGAGGAGAATGTAACACAGACTAAGCAAGCACAGGAATTGGCCCCAACCACCTTGCACCTTCTAAACGGAACTTAAAACCAAGGCCAAACATGTCTCGAGGGTGTTTATCTGACCACAGAGAGTTTTCACTCTCTTCTGGTCCTTCAGTCATCCATGGCCACACCCATGATGAAAAAGTTGCCCAAAGATTTAGGAAAACTTTTAAGGGTGGGAATAGAATAGAAATGCAGAAACAGGCTAGAAAGAATATAGATTTAGGCTTGCCAGTTTTTCTGATTGAATAGCAATGTAGGAAACAGGGCCTTTGAGATCATCTGCTCTCACTCCATAACAAATAAAAATTATAGTACTCCAACTTCTTGATTAAAGACAATGACAGACTTTGATTTTTGTTTGTTTTACTTCAAATAAAAGCCTTATAAGCATACTGAGACGTGGGTTTTGGTCCTAAGCAAAAAAAAGAATGGTCTCTGTTGCAAAGTACTAATGTGGAAATGCCTAAAACTACCTTACATAGAAATTGCAGAATTCAGACCACAAATTATATTTCATATCACACTGCAAATTGTATTCTATAGGTAACAGTGGGTTTCACTGGATCTATTTTCACACTTAAAACTCAATTGTATGGATTATGTGCACTATAACAAACAGAACCATCAACTAATAGTGCTAAAAGAGAGGTAGATGAACAAAAAATATATTCCTTTCCCCAGACCAGCTTGGGAAAAAAAATATCACAGTACTGTCACGTATGCACTCACTGCATTAGGAAAACATAAAGTTGCCACTAAATTAGGCAAAATAAAATGTCTTTATTGCCTGGTCCAGATTAAGACCTTCTTTAAAAGTGTGCTGTCATTTAGAATGAAATGTTAAATACAGGGAAAATCATTTAAGTATCTACAAACCAGAAACTCCCAAAGTAAAATTACATCTTCAAGCATTGCAGGTAATGAACAAACACAGATTTCAGCACTAACCTTTTCGCCTGAGGCAGTCTGATATCCTTGGTGTTATTCTAGTGTCACTTCCTCCTGCTCACACACCTGTATGCTTTTCTGACACCCAGTGTGACTACATAATGCAATTGGGTAAGCACAGTAATGCTCAATCATTTAAAAGCCATACCATTCATATGCCTAACACTGCTGGGTTTTTTGGAACGTGCACTTGGTTGGACTGTGCAATTCTCTCTGTATTTCAGCTGAGATAGCCCTTTTACCTACAAATTACTGATGACCATTTTAAATACATAAAAATAAGGCTGTGTGTGTCTTACCTGGACAAATCCAAATTTTGTAAATTGAATCAGCCACTCCATACACTATTAAATAAAACATACAGTAATTTTCCTGCAGTAAGTTACTGCCATTAAACTTTGCATTTTTCCAAGGCACAGTACAAAAAAGAACTCCTGCAATGGCAGAGCAGTCTACCACATGAAAATTTTAACCTTCTAATAACACAGTGGGATGTGTTTTGCTCCTTCTATGTGTCAAGTGACATAAGGCAGCACAAGAAGCAAAACAAGGACATTCAGATATCCCTAGTTCTTCATTAGTCACAATGAATACTAGTCCTCTACACAAATGAGAGACACAATATTGTAAAATATAACATAGGAATATAATTTTATTCTGTTAATCTGCGTATGTATTGGTACAGCTGTTCTGAGAAAGCTTCTGAAGAAAATTTTTCCATAACTCTCACTCTCCCAGCTGCTCCCATTGTGTCCTTTAAGAGAGGATCTCTCACAATTTTTTCCATGGCATCAGCGAACTGGGTTGGTAGAGGATCACACAAAAATCCTGTAACATTATGTGAGATTGATTCTAAAGGACCACCTGAATTAACTGCTATAACTGGACATCTCATATACATTGCCTCCAAAGGGACAATGCCAAAATGTTCATTGCTTGGTGTGTAAAGCACACATACAGAATTACTAAAAAGAGAGATTTTCTGTTCATCTGAGAATGATCTCAGAAAAGTTACATGGTCATTAACATCAAGTTTGGCTGCGAGTCTCCTCAGCTCTTCATAGTGCTCCACATTTTCCAGAACTCGCTTATCATAACCACCTGCCATAACCAGGTGAACTTCATCCCACTCGTGACAATCAAGTCTCCCTCGAAGTTCGTGCAAAGCTTCGAGAGCCAACGCCAGATTTTTTTTCCTCTCATACCTATTAATGGAAAGAAACAAGAACTTTTTCTTTTTTGGTATCAGATCAGCAATGTCTGCCGGAACAATTTCTTCAAAGCTACGGATGTTGAGCGATGGGTAGAGGACATCTGGGTTTATGTGTGATAGGGACTTAAATGTGTCTTTGAACACGCTGGCAGTGAACTTGCTGTTCACAACGATACAGTCTGCCATGCCAGTCGTGTACTCCTCCAGCCAGTCGAGCGGCAGTCTGTAGAGGCGCTTCAGGAAAGATTCTCTCTTGGTCAGGAGTTGATCGGGAAAGTGACAGTAAAACAAAACCTTCTTACGGGTTCTGGCCAGTCTGAGTATAGGAATGCAGGCAGACACCTAGTGCAACCAGAGACACAGGACAAGAGGACAGGTTAATTGTTTGCACAACACTGCCACCAGTGTGTACATGGGATTTCAAAGCCATGCTCTGAGAGCCGCTGCTTTGCAAGCCAAGTGCCTTCTCCCTCTCCCCCACACAAGCACATCAAGTTGTACTCCCTCATCCAGGACCTCTTGTGGCCCTGTAATTTCTCCCTGCTCCCCACCAAGGTCCCATCAAGCCCCAAGATGTCTCCAAGCACCTCCTTCTACCACTACCACAGGTGCTGGGAGCTGAGTGCAAGCAGCAGTGGCATCCTGTCCCTCCAGCTGCCCCAGAACGTAAGAGGTAAATTGCAAAGTGTGGAATATGTCAAGATTATATAAAGTCAGGACATTCTTTGATCTAAGATCTTTGTATACTTTCAAGCCTAATCATCAAGAAAGACCTCATCAGTGGAACTGTCAGCAGCTAGCACCTCTTAGTCAATGACCTTCTGGAACTAACCAGCCTTAAAGATGTAGTAAATCAAGATGTTGATTTATGTCTATGTATACATTGCTAACTTTGCAAAATACTCAAGGTCCATGTATCCTATAGCTAAACTATGTTCATTATAACACTAAAAATCACACCCACGGGTCAGGAAGACCCCTGCTCAGGTGAAGACCATTTCCTCAAGCAAGTGTAGAAGTTAATTGGGAATACGTAACTTGCACAATCCTATAGCTAAACTATGTTCATTATAACACTAAAAATCACACCCACGGGTCAGGAAGACCCCCTGCTCAGGTGAAGACCATTTCCCCAAGCAAGTGTAGAAGTTAATAAGGAATATGTAACTTGCACGGAACCACAGAATCAATTAAGTTGGAAAAGAGATAACAGAGTCCCAACAATGACCCAACATCACTGTGTCAACTAGACCATGGCATAAAGGGCCACATCCAATCTTTCCTTAAATATATTCAGGGCCGGTGACTCCATCACCTCTTTTGGCAGTCCATTCCAATGTATAAACACCTTCTCTGAAAAAAATTCTTCCTAATGTCCAAGATAAGCCTCCCCTGGTGCAGCTTAAGACTATGTTCTCTCATCCTGTCACTAGCTGTCAGGGAGACCAATCCCCACCTGCCAGAACATCCTTTCAGGCAGTTCTAATGGCAATAAGGTTCCCCTGAGCCTCCTTTTCTCCCAGCTAAACATCCCAGCTCCCTCAGCCACGTGTCATAAGACCTGAGCTCCAGATCATCCTCCAGCTTCACTTCCCTTCTCTGGAAATTATTTACCAATCATAACATTATGAGGTGCCACACTTGGGAAGTTACTAACTCTGAATTTCTATGTATAAAAGATGGTACAGAAAGCCTGATGGGGTGTCCTTATTTGGTGGAACACCATGGAGCAGCCAGGCTTGCACAGATCTGAAATGAACAATCCATGTCTCTCTCTTGAGTGTGTCATTATTGGCTTGTTGCACACCTGATCATGAATCCCATTTTGGGGGGATTTGATACTCCAGGGTTCTGAAGCATGTCTCTTATGAGACACTGCAGGACTGGGCTGGTTTAATCTAGAGTAACTAGGAGCCAATTAATTAATATAAATGTCTCAAAGGTGGATCTCATCTCAAAAGGATGCTGCCAGACTCTTTAGTGGTGCCCAGTGACAGGATGAGGAACAGCGGCCATATACTAAAACACGTGAACTTCTACATTCACATGGAGAACTTCTTTAGATTGAGGGTGGCAGAGCACTGGAAAAGGCTGCCCAGGGAGGTCGTGGAGTCTCCCTCTCTGGAGGCATTCCAAACCTGCTGTAGGTGCTTTGGCAGGGGGTTTGGAGTAGATGATCACCAGACACCCACTCCAACCCTAACAATTCTGTGATTCTGTGAAGAGCAGCCCACCAGCATCCCCGCCTCCAGTGGGGCCAGCGGCAGCGGGGCTCCCGTCCCCATGCCCATGCCCATGTCCATGTCCATGCCCATGTCCATGTCTCCCCACACCTGGTCGCACACGAAGGCGTCGAAGGTCTCTCCGCTGAGCAGCAGCACGTAGAGCGCCACGCAGGCCATGCGCAGGGCGGCGCACAGGGCGTGCCCGCGGCCGCACAGGCTGCGCGGGAGCCAGCCGCCCGCCCGCCGCACCGCCAGCCCGCGCGTCTCCGCGAAGCAGCGCCCGGGGTCGTAGTGCGCCGTCCAGATCTGCACCCGGCAGCCCCGCGCCCGCAGCGCCAGCGCCGCGTCCACCACCAGCCGCTCCGCGCCGCCCAGGCCCAGGTCCGGGTGCAGGAACAGCACGGACGGGCCCGCTCCTCCCGCCTCCTCCATAGCCACCGCCGCGCGGTCGCATGCGCAGCCCCGCAGCCCCGGTGCGACACGTCAGCCTTGCTTCCCTTCCTCCCGGGCCTTTCCGCCCGCCCCGCCCGCCGGGCGGCCTCGCTGCTGCCCGACGCGCCGTTCGCCGCGCTCCCGCGCCGGCCCGGCTGCTGCGCAAGGAGCGGGCGCGACCGAGGCGTCACGGGGGGCAGCGGTCTCGGAACGCGGCCGCCGAGCGAGGGGTACAGGGATGAGGAGCTGCTGCTGCTCAGGCATTATCCAGGGAAGCCGCGAGGCCCCGGGATGCACGGCGCGGGGCGGAGCCTGATGCGGACGGGGACGTGGCCGGAGCGGCTGTAGCGGAGCGTGTGTGAGACCGCGCCGAGCCAGCGCCGCCGCCGCAATGGTGAGAGGCTGCCCCAGGCAGGGGGCGGCTGAGGCGCCCCTTCCCCGCCGGCAGTGCCCGCCGCCTCTCACCCCCTCTCGCTTCTCTCCTCTCTCCGCAGCCCGGACCCAATCCCAGCGCCACCAGCGTCGGCTCCTCCGGCCGCTCCCCCAGCAAGGCTGTGGCTCCCCGCGCCGCGGGATCCACCGTCCGGCAGAGGTGGGTGCCCGCCGCCGCTGCCCGGCGGGGACAGCTCTGGCTGCCGTCGTGCGCTGTGCTTGCCGGGCTGCTGCCCTCTGCTGACGTGGCAGCACGGGCTGATGCCTGTCCTGAGAAGGGCAACGCTGCTGGGGAAGGGTCTGCGGCACCAGGGCTGTGAGGAGGGGCTGAGGGAGCTGGGGGTGTTTAGCCTGGAGAAAAGGAGGCTCGGGGAGATCTTATCATTCTCTGCAACCACCTGAAAGGAGGGTGTAGACAGGTGAGGGTCTGTGTCTTCTCCCAGGCAACTAGTGACAGGGTAGGAGAACACAAGTCTTAAGCTGTGCCAGGGGATGTTTGGCTTGGACATCAGTAGGAAGGCGTGATTAAACATTGGAATGGGCTACCCAGAGAGGTGGTGGAGTCACTGTACCTGTAGGTATTTAAGGAAAGACTGGATATGGCGCTTAGTGCCATGGTCTAGTTGACACAGTGGTGTTGGGTCATAGGTTGGACTTGATGATCTTAGAGGTCTTTCCCAACCTGATTGATTCTGTGAAGTATATTGTTTCTGCAGAGTCTCGTGGGCTGCTTGGTCCTAGAAGCTGGTGGACTACTAACGTGTTGTTTGGTCTTTGTTTTCTTCTGTCATCTCTTAAAGGAAAAATGCCAGCTGTGGGACAAGGAGTGCAGGCCGTGCCACGTCCACAGGGACTGGTGGGATGTGGCGGTTCTACACTGAGGACTCTCCAGGGCTCAAAGTGTAAGTTGGGTGAATGGGTGCTGGTGGCAGGCTTGAAGGCCGTAGAGTTCCCCTGCCTACATAGTCTTGCAGTCTTTGAATTAATAAAAATCTGACATCTGTCAGATTAATAAAACACTGACATCTGTCAGTGTTCTGGTGTGCATGGAAAAATTGCTGCGTTGATGGTTGGGATGACATATTTAATCTGTAACCCTGGAGAAGGTGTTTTGAAAGACACAGTGGTTTGAAAAAGGTGGGTACAAGTTGTAATTGCCAAAGCTTACCCTATGTGGTCTTTGAAGGCTGTAAGCAATCACTTTGAAGTTGAGTAAGATCACTTATCTCAATGAATTAAAGCATCTGTGTGCATGTTTTCATTCTCTTTTAAGTAAAAATCTTGGGTATTTTTTCTTATAATAGCTGTGCACCCCTTGAAAATACAATATAACTGATACACCATATGGTCACATCAGGTGTTTTTATTAAAAAGCTGCAGATAAATTACTTTAGCTGAATTTGCCTAGCAAATAGCCTGCCAATACCTTGTATATCTCCATTTTCACAAGTTGAATGTTCCAAGATTATGGTCAAATACCTAGTAATGTCCCTTAAACTATAAAGAGAGCCTAAGTTTTTACTCTTTTGACCACTTTTAGTCATTTAGATGACTTTCCCAACAAACTTTGAAGCCTAATACTTGGGTAACAAAAGTGGAAAGTGTATTTGAGCTGATGAGTGTATGCCAAGTTACATCCTGAGTGGAAATTTGTGTTTATTGTAGAATTACAGTTCAGGAGCTCTTGTTCTTACTGGGTTGAAAAGTCTTGAGATGCTCAGGGCTGATCCTGTTGCTTGTTTTTTTTTTTTTCTCAAATCCATTAATATTTTTTTTGGAGTTCTTCAAGAGGGCTGCTGCTAGCTGTGCATTTGGGGAAGGGCATGGTGATAGGCTACTTAGTGATTGTTCCATGAGTAATCCTTTGATGTTGTTTTATGTGTTTTCATTTTCATATATATTTGAAACTTCAGAAAACAAACTGCATCCAGCAAATCATCAAAGTGGTGCTGTTCTGCCTTGCTTACTCCATTCTGAGTACAGAAAGGAGACAAGGCAAAGAAAAGACAATGAGCAGCAATAGTATTCTAGAGCAAATCTATGCAGATAGGCAGTGCAACTGTTTTCTCTGTTATTTGGTGTCCTAAAGTTCAATTAAAAAAATTAATTACACTAAACAGGAAAAAACCCCAGAAGGGCATTATGATTTTTTAATAGACTTGTGATACAACCTTTAACAATTTTGCTAAGTTTCCTTGTGAATCCTTTGATTTCACTTTTGGTGGTGAATGGCCACTCAGTTGTTCTCATCTTCAGTGCAAGCAGATCAGTAAACAGATTTTCCCATCTATTTATGTTGTGTCACAGTGATTCCCAATTTTAAGGTTTTGGAACGCTGGGAGTGGTTTATTTGGAAGCTACTTTGGGTAACTGTATGGTCATGCTTTTAATGAAAGAATCAAATCTATAAAAGTGAGTTGGTTTTAAGAAGCACCCCACACTAGATGTAACTTTTTCTGAGCCATGGCTAGGTAGCAACTTTTTTGCTTACAGCTTTCTAGATATTTTTCTTCAATTTTTTTTTTTTTCCATAGCAACCAATTGTTATTATCACTGCCTGTTTAGTAGGCTTTAAAATGAGAATAGGTTATGAAAGATTTGTGATTGCCTCAGTGAAGTGCTTCAGCTGAAGTTGTTTTTTAGAAACCATTTTTAGAAATGGTTGTGATCACTACTGCATAAAGCAGTGGGAAATCTTAGCCTGGTAGTGGTGGTAGGTGGGCTTTTTTGGCATTTTTTCATATTGTTTAAAATGTAAGCTCTTAACATTAGTATGAAAAAATACGTAAAACCACCTGATAACAGGTTAATTCATAGTAGCTACAAGGAGGGGAATTTTGCTTTAGATAAAAAAGTTTATTTATCTTATATTGTGCAGAAATAGATTGATGCTTTGGGTATTTTTGTAGCTGTATTCAATATCCAAAATAATAAATATGTTGAATAGGCAAGTTGGTTCCCCTCAGGAAAGATCCTTTATTTGCATTACAAGATACTTCAAGATGTGTGTGCCTTTAAAAACAGTTGTTAGTGAAAGAGAGTTGTGGGAGATTTGGCTGAGAGGGGATATGATGTTTTTATCTTTAAAGCCTGGATATTGCATGCTTTGAAAAGAAAACTAAACCCAAGTTTTTTTGTCTTTTTGAGTCACTTGGTACCTGTGGTTCCTGTATCTTATCTTGGTCTTTCTTGCTTAAAGAACTATAGGCAGCTTTCCTGTGGATAGAAAGTCAGATTGAGCTTGTGGTACAGTATGCAGCCTTATGAAAGACATTCTGAGAATGCACAGAATCCTATCTTTAGAGGTGTCTGAATCATTTATTTGTTTGTGTTGGGCTGAGAAGATGCAGGTGTGTGGAGGAGAATTGCAGGGTTTCAACAGGTTTTCTTTGGGATTGGAGGAAATGAGCTATATGTGTCCGTATTGGAGAGTTGATTTTTCTCTAGGAGTTCAAGGTCATCTTCATGTTAAAAAACCACTGGACACACAATCAGTCTCCACTGTTTATTTCCATGTAGTTCTGTTCTGATTAGTGGTGCTGCTTTGTTCCCATGTGCCTCTGGCAGAGCAGCTTACCTGTTCCTACTGCTGAAGGCTCAAATGAATTAAATAGTGATTCAGATACAGTGTAAGGACTATAAATTATGATTTATATTATGTAGGCTATAAACTTACATGTATACATACACATAAATAAATAAAAATATAAGTATACTTATTTATATGTATAAAATGCTAGGGTTTGAGAATTACATTCTGTTGCTTAGTGAAAGACCCCTTGAAGGAGTTGCTTGCGTAGTCACCATGTATGTGGACTTTGTTTATTTTGTTATTGGTTTATTTGCTAAATGTTTTATGTCTGTGTTCTGGGTTCTCCATACCCAAATAAGTCTAAGTACAATAGATAATAATTGAGTTTTAAAACTCAATGTAAGATTACAGTTGTGATAATTTCAAGTATGTGGATCATGATCTCATAGAAAAAAAAATACGTGAGTAAACTCTTTGAATCCCTTTTCAGTTTCATTTTTTTTCCTATGTATTCAGGTAGCATTTACATGCTTATAAACCATACCCTGGAGGGTAACACAGTCTGGATAATAGATTTCCCAATAGCATGTTGAAAATCAAAAATGAGATTGTGTGAAGTGAATGATATGAAGGAGTGTTGAGTGTGTGTATTCATGTATCTATTGCATCTCAGACGAGCATGAAAAAGCTGATTGAAATTATCAACGTGCACACTAAGATGAACCTGTTTTTTAAAAACATTACTATGCAATTTCTAAACAATATATGAAAGTAAGCATAAAAAAAAATTAATGTATTCATTTTAGGTAAAGATTTAATGACGTAGCTTTGCCACTTTGTGTATGTTTTTCAAGAAAGCAGAAGTCCCGTCCACTGCTGCCATTGTTTTCAAATGAAACAAAACCTCTAAAATAAAACAGCTAATGAGAATTTTTTGCCAAAATTTTAGTAGCCGCTAGAGGACTCTGTTGGTTTTTTTTATATTGGACTGCATTTTTGCTCAGTTGGCTATCTGAGTTGTAAACACAGAGGATACTTTTCCAGAGACTGTGGAAACAGTGATGAATTATAATGAACCATTAATGGCTTTTTTAACAAGGGCGGGTGGTTTGTTGTGCTTTTTTTATGTAACATTTAGGGTGTATAGAACTGTCTTTTAAAACAGTGGTGGCAGCAGCAGTTTTTGATAGAGATGGCTATCTCATTTCTGTGTGCCTTAAGGTATTTCTTTGGGAAGGGAAGAAGAGTTTTCTTGTACAATTTCATATGAACTGATGCGCTCGCTTGGCTGATAATGGGCAAGACAGACTTATTTTTTATGTTAATGCATTTTCTCTTTGTTTTTAGTGGACCTGTTCCAGTTTTGGTCATGAGTCTTCTTTTTATTGCTTCTGTGTTTATGCTGCACATCTGGGGTAAATACACTCGTTCCTAAACTCAGCTGCCAACTTAAAGCATACATCTTGGACCAAAACTATGGTGGATCCTGGTTGTTCTTGGAGAGAGACTGGGGAAGCTTCCTATCACCTGTTGAAGTCCTGTCAACTTTGGCTATAATACTGAATTAATTTCTCAGTTTGCTACTTGGGCAGCTTTAAAGCCTGTCATGGGTCATTTTATATTTGTATCTGTACACTTAGAACACAGGTATTGCAATAAAAGTTGTATATGGAAATAGAACAGTCTTAACTGTATTTTTTCCTCTTCCAGTATACCACCACTAACACATTTTACTAGTGGTCTTCATAAATAGTCATATTTCTGAGTAAATAATCTTTGACAGTTCAAATCAGATTCTTCCAAACTATACATTGGTATATAATTTTATGCTAGAAGATCTTCTTTTGTGACAAAATCAGGTTCACAAACATGAGAAGGTAACTGGCGTCCTTCTTGAAATAAAACTGAGGTGCCAGTGCTGTACCATGTTCTTTTAACTCCAGAAGAATAGCTGGATTTATTTAATTTATTTTCTAAATGCAAGTCAAACTTTACTCAGTGCTCGTTATGCATAAAAGTTATATGTTTGTTTTTTTCAAGCTGCACTTGAGGAACAACATGAACTGGTACCTAACTGATTTTAAAAAGAATAATTGCATGGCTGTCAAAGACATTTTTCACCTTCAGTCACATGGTGTGGTTCTTGGGGCTGTCCTGGGCAGGGCCAGGAGTTGGACTTCAGTGGTCCTTGTGGGAACCTTCCAACTTAGGATATTCTGTGATTCAGTGACTGCAGGTCCAGACTCAAGGAGAATTAAATGGAATGGGAGGACCAGAAAAGCAGTGACTGCATTTCAAGTAACAGGACATGCAAATAGTCTGAGATACAGCTAAGTGTTGCTTCAGATAACCACTCCAGTTTACTTCTGG